GTCTAAAAATGCTTTCGCTGTTTTAAGAACAAGCGTCAGCGATGTAGCGTTGCATGACCGGCTGATCGACGAGCTTTTAGTGTAATAAATGATTTCCAACAACCGCAGATCATCGCACACCTGCAATTCGCTCCGAACAGCACCCAAGTGTCGACTGTCAGCTTCCATCGACGAAATTTTCTCTTGAAGAGTTGAGATCTGGCGCATCGATTGCTCATACTTTGCTAGTGCATCGGCTAATTCGGCCTAAACAGGCAATGTATCGGTTGGTGGAGAATCAGTTTTAAGGATTTTACTGTTTATAATTTGACTACAAGTTCTAGTAATTTTACTTCATTATTACTACAATTTATAGCCCAAGACCGACTGACCTGGCATAGCTATGCTCGTAGTAACATCACTAACATGAGATACCCATACTAATAGTCCGAGCGGTCCCGGTATTTTTGGTAGATACATATTTTAATTATAATGCCCGGAATTACAATTTTCTGGAATTAACCGAATCTAGATAGGTAGCACTGCCGCTTGTGTTTTCGCTAAACTATTACTTTTACTTTTTGTTACGCTCATGTTAATCTACGAATTTGAACTCCCTCCTTTAAACTAAACCCCGTCATCAGATTCTGTAAATGGGAAACCGAAAGTCTAAAATACAAAATTCAGGCAACATTCTGGATGCATTGTTGGCCTACTTCTTGACTGCGCAGCATATTGCTCGAATAATCCGCAAATCCAACTTCTCTCTCTAGACTCCAAGAAAAAAAAAATAAATAGCAACGCGCAACAGACTAGCCGGTGCGATCATGCGTTTTGTGCAATTCAGCCCATCGAACGATTACCTATAAATGATTTTCACTGCTTTGTACTTTAATCTATGCAGAAATAGTTCAAACATTGGAAAACAGTTAAAAATTTCACGCACCAGCGCATGAAAGCCGAATTCTAAACCTTGAAGGATGAAAATCTTTCCGTGATTCCCGAGTTAATAGTTTACCCGCCAAAATTTTCATGAGGCCGTAGGTGATACCCAAGAGCGCGAGAACGCTGAATTTAAATGGGCAAGGTTGAGCGACCGCAAGTGGCCATTACCCTAAAATTTCAGCCTCCCAGACTCCGTGATTCCCGAGATATTAACTTACTCGTGAAAAACTTTCACGGGGTCGTAAGTGTTACCCGCGGGTATGGGGAAGCTGCATTTAAATTTGCGAGGTCACACGTGGGTGGGGAACGTTCTCCTAAATTTTCAGCTTCCTAGCTTTTGTGGTTCCCGAGTTGAAAGTTGCGGACAAGTTCCCCTTAAATTTTCAGCTTCCTAGCTTTTGTGGTTCCCGAGTTGAAAGTTGCGGACAAGTTGCTGCGCCACACACACACACACGCAGACAACCCCATAACAATATGCGTTTTGTACTGCTGATACACAGAACAAAACGCATAGAAAACGAAAAAAGACTATAATTTCGAAAATGGCCAAGAAAATTGTAAAACTCAAAAAACGTCGCAACCTGAACTGCATGATTTGGTATGTTCAGTGCGGCGGAATACTGAGTTTCGCTATTCGGCGTCAACGACATGTACTCCTTTCGTAGCTGTCTTTCTGCTAGCGCATATTCAGCACTGTTTTGTTCCAATGCTTTATGCAGTTCAGCTTCTAAATTTTCCGAACGCTTCCTAATTGTAGCTAATTCAGTTTCCTGAAAAATTTTTTTTAAAACGAAATAAGTTTTTAAAAGGAAAGTAAGTGAGTAACAAGCCGATAAGCAAGTGAATAAACAAGTAGGTGCGTAAAAAAATAAAAAAGTGAGCAGGTAATCAAGTGAATAGGTAAATATGAAAGTGAGTAGATAAGCAATCAAGTAAGCAAGTAATATTCCGAAAGATATTTCTAATAATAATAAAAATTATCATTGATAGAAATTTTCATGATAAAAATTATCATGAAGATTTTTAATTTTTTTGATTTAGCGAACTTGTTATCTTAATTTTTGGACTTTTTTTGACTCCTTGAAATAAAAAATTACGCACTTTTTGTACAATCTCCTTCTCCAGAGTTTCCTTTTCATCACGCAATCTCACACACAGCTT